GACGCGTGGCGTCACCTGTTCCCGGAGGCCTCAGAGATTCCTCGCTGGGGCGAGCTGTCTAGGGCGGGTGTTGCCATCTTTGATCTTGACTTTGATGCTATTTTCTCTGCCATGTATGCTGTGTCTCATAGTGATGAGGGTGACTGCTACCGCTGTTTCCCGCCCGATCCGGGCATTGAGGCTGCTGCCCTAGGTGCTTGCGACGCTGCTGCTCTAGGTGCTAGTGTGTTTGCGTTTTCAGGTACTGGTGAGTCTGCGCTCTCAGGTACTACGTCGGCTTTGGCCTCCCTCACCTTCACTCTTGACTCTGGGGCGTCTCGCTCCTTCTTTCGGGACCGCACCACAATCACGCCGCTTAGTCGGCCGGTTGCGGTGTCTCTGGCTGACCCCTCCGGGGGTCCTGTACTGTCTCGCTTCTCCACAGTCCTCCCGTGTCCGGCGGCTCCCTCTGGCACCCTGTCTGGTCTCTACCTCCCCTCGTTCTCGACGAACCTGGTGAGTGGTGCTGACCTACAGGATGGGGGAGTACACCAGTTCACTCCTGCGCGTCAGCGGGTGACGCACTGTACAGAGGCTAGCACAGGCCGGCACCTGGCTACGTTTACCCGTCAGCCGGGGTCGAGCCTATACACACTGACCACTGCGTCTCCTCCCGTTATTGAGTCTGGTAGAGTCGCTTCGTCCGGTCAGGTGTTTGCTGCAGCGTCTAGGTCTGGTCCTGAGTCTGCCCCCTGTTCGTGTCGTCTCTTGTCTCATGAGACTCTCCTCTGGCACCACCGTCTTGGTCACCCCTCTCTGCTTCGGCTCAGAGGCATGGCCTCCCGTCTTCTTGTGTCTGGTCTTCCCCGGTCCCTCCCTCAGGGCCCTGGCCCTGCCTGTGTCCCCTGTGTCGAGGAGCGCCAGCGGGCTGCCCCTCACTCCTCCCAGTTTCCTCCGACAGAGGCCCCGTTGCAGACGCTTCACATGGACGTGTGGGGCCCGGCCCGCGTCCGTGGACAGGGTCACGAGCGCTACTTCCTGCTCGTTGTTGACGACTACTCGCGTTACACCACGGTCTTCCCCTTGCGCAGCAAGGGTGATGTCACTGAGGTGCTGATCGACTGGATCCGCGCGGCTCGTCTCCAGCTCAGGCGGAGCTTTGGCTCGGACTTCCCTATTCTGCGTCTGCACTCGGATAGAGGCGGAGAGTTTTCCTCTGGCCTACTGCGAGCCTACTACCGCGCACGAGGCATCCGTCAGACCTTCACGCTTCCGGACTCACCGCAGCAAAATGGGATTGCTGAGCGCCGCATTGGCATGGTCATGGACGTCGCTCGTACGTCTATGATGCATGCGGCTGCCCCCCATTTTCTGTGGCCGTTTGCGGTCAGGTACGCGGCGCATCAGATCAACCTCCTCCCCAGGGTCTCCAGCCTGGAGACCTCCCCAGCCTTACTGTGGATGGGGAAGGTTGGCGATGCGTCGGCGTTCCGGGTCTGGTGATCTCGGGCGTTTGTCCACGACTTGTCTGCGGACAAGCTGTCCCCTCGTGCTGCTCCTTGCGTCTTCCTGGGGTTCCCCCCTGACGCGCCTGGGTGGCAGTTCTACCACCCCACCTCTCGACGTGTTTTGTCCTCCCAGGACGTCACGTTTGACGAGTCGGTCCCCTACTACCGCCTCTTCCCCTACCGCACTCCGTCCCTCCCCCCACCCCCGCTCTTCCTTGTACCAGGTCCCCCCCAGGTAGACTCCCTCCCCCCTCAGGGTCCTGCCACTTCAGGTGTGTCCCAGGTAGACGCAGTCGAGCCTGTCGAGGTCACTGGTGACTCAGGTGCTGCTGGGGGTGCTGAGCCTGGGGGTGTTGGACCTGGGGGTGCGGAGTCTGGGGGTGCTGAGCCTGGGGGTACTGCGTCTGGGGGTGCTGAGCCTGGGGGTACTGAGCCTGGGGGTGCTGAGCCTGGGGGTGCTGAGCTTGGGGGTGCTACGCCTGGGGGTGCTGAGCCTGGAGGTGCTACGCCTGGGGGTGCTGGGTGTGGAGGTACTCCGCCTGGAGGTTCTCCGGGTGCTTCTTCTCGCGGGGAGCCACTCTCTCCACAGGAGCTGCGCGAGTGGTTTGCCCGGCGCTGGCGCCGTACTGCTGGTACTGGAGGTTCTTCGGCTGCTGAGGGTGATGCGGTCGCGGGTCCCGGAGGTGCTCGTACTGGGAGTACTGGAGCTGCTGGGCCTACGGGTTCGACTGGAGCTGGTGCTGCTGAGGGTGTTGGCGCTGAGACTACCGCTGGCGGTCCTACAGGGGGTGCTCCTGGTGAGGGTACTGGTGCTGTCCCTGCTGCTTCCGGCGTCGTCACGCGGCCTCGACCGTACTTTGTTCCACTCCTGCAGCAGGTTCTTGGTCTTCCTCCTTCTACTGGTCCTCCTCCTCCCTTAGAGTGTCCACAGCCTGTCCCGTCACAGTCACAGCTAAAGCCTGCCTCCCCTCTGCCTGCTCCTTCTCCCTACGCTGGTCCTACTGGAGGTCTTACTGAGTGTCGTGAGCCTACGTCTCGTCCTGCGTCGCATGTTAGAGCTGCTCGCCCTAGTGGTCGCAGTTCGCGCCAGCGTCCTCCTCCTGTCCCTGGCACGCACCGGATGTCTCTGCGTCCGTCTACTGCTCCTCTGCGTTCCCCTTTGCCTTCCCCTCCTGAGTCCTCTCTTCTTGCACTTGCCGACCCTGAGTCGGACTCTCTTCGTGCTGCCAGTCCTACTGTCACGCGTCTCCTTGCTACTGTTGTCACTGACCCTTCTTTTGAGTCTACTGTTGCGTCTGCTCTCGTTACTGAGCTCGTCGACTTTGCTGCTCGCTGTCGCTTAGACTACGCTGCTAGTCTTGTCGCTGAGTCTTAGTCTGTCTGTCCTCCGTCCGTCGGGGGTGAGTGTGCCCTTGGCACGGACGTCCTTGAGGACAGGCAGGAGGAGTTCCACTGTCTAGCTGCTGCTTCACCTCATCTCGTGTCCGTACTGCTTACCCCTGAGGGAGACCCGGATGCACTTGACATCTCGACTCCGCGCTCTTACGCGGAGGCGATAGAGGGTCCCTACTCCTCTCAGTGGCAGGCAGCTATGGACGCAGAGATGGCTTCCTGGAAGTCCACAGGCACCTATGTTGATGAGGTTCCCCCGCCTGGGGCGAACATCGTCAGTGGCATGTGGATTTTCAGGGTGAAGCGGCCGCCGGGCTCTCCGCCTGTCTTCAAGGCGCGGTATGTGGCTCGTGGCTTCAGTCAGCGGCAGGGAGTTGACTACTTTCAGACCTTCTCTCCCACCCCGAAGATGACCACTCTTCGGGTGCTGCTGCACATAGCCGCTCAGCGCGACTACGAGCTCCACTCTCTTGACTTCAGCACTGCTTTCTTGCAGGGTAGCCTGCACGAGGAGATCTAGCTGCGCCGTCCACCTGGCTTCACTGGGACTTTCCCTCCTGGCACCCAGTGGAGCCTCCAACGGCCAGTCTACGGTCTCCGCCAGGCACCGCGTGATTGGCACGACACACTGAGGACTATGCTTGCGGCTCTTGGGTTTGCTCCCTCTACTGCTGACCCGTCGTTGTCTCTGCGCACCGACACTTCTCTGCCGCCGTTCTACATCCTCGTGTACGTCGACGACTTGGTCTTTGCCACAGCGGACACTGCTGGACTCGCCTATGTGAAGTCCGAGCTACAGAAGAGACACACGTGCACAGACCTAGGTGAACTGCGCAGCTACCTTGGCTTGCAGATCACTCGGGACAGAGCACGCCGCACCATTACCTTGACTCAGTCACACATGGTGCAGCAGGTCCTTCAGCGCTTCGGCTTCACGTACTCCTCGCCTCAGGCCACTCCTCTGCCTACTCGCCACTCACTCTCAGCTCTGCCTTCAGATGAGTCCGTAGAGTCGAGTGGCCCGTATCCAGAGCTTGTTGGCTGCCTCATGTACCTGATGACCTGCACACGACCTGACCTTGCATACCCTCTTAGCATTCTTGCACGCTATGTTGCTCCTGGGAGACACCGACCAGAGCACATGGCTGCAGCGAAGAGGGTGTTGCGCTACTTGTGCAGTACGTCGGGCATGGGGCTAGTGCTTGGAGGGCGCAGTCCAGTGGTCCTCACTGGGCACGCGGACGCTTCTTGGGCTGACGACTAGGCTACGCAGCGGTCGTCACAGGGTTACACCTTCAGTCTTGGTTCCGACTCTGTTTCGTGGCGGGCTACCCGCTCGTCTTCTGTTCTCGGCTCCAGTTGTGAGGCTGAGATCTACGCCGGGGCTATGGCTGCCCAGGAGCTTCGCTGGCTCACCTACCTGCTGACCGACCTTGGAGAGCCGCCTCGTTCTCCTCCAGTCCTGTACGTAGACAACAAGGCCATGCTGGCCTTGTGTCGAGAGCTTCGACTGGAGCACAAGACAAAGCACATTGCTCTCCGTTACTTTCTTGCTCGTGAGCTACAGCAGCGTGGACAGTTGCGGCTTGGGTACGTGGCCTGTGAGGCCAACACTGCTGATGTTTTCACCAAGGCACTTGCGCCTTGTGATCATCAGCGCTTCTGCACTCAGGTGGGTCTTGTGCCTGTCTTGCCTCACTTGCTCACTTCTTGACCTTGCTTGTACTGTCACATATATATACTCCTGCTCTTGCTTGCTTAGCCTCGTATATATATATGTATATATATATATATATATATATATATATATATATATGTGCTCTTGCATGTGAACTGGCCTTTTGGCCTTTGAACTTGTGCTCCTAGTGTGTGGTGACTTTGTGATCCACCCTGAGCTTTGCTTTGCTTTGCTTGAATGGTCTTGTGACCCCTTGTTCTCCCCCACTTTGCCTATGGGGGTGTGTCAAAACATTATAGCTTATGCTATTGTGTAGGCTATAGTGGGGTATCCCATAGGGGGTACAACCCAACTAGGGTTTCATATTTGTACTCTCACCTTTCATAGTTCACACCATTCTCGTTCTAATCTTCTCAAGTTCTGCGCCAAGAACCCCCCCCCCCATGTACTTCACTCTCTATTATATAGTCACCCGCCTCCCTGACTCCCTTCGTGTAGTCAGGGACCACTTCCTCTCAGTCTGTCCCACCACTCTCACTGTTGACCTCTTAGAGAAGGCCCTTCTAGCAGCGGAGAAGAGCATAGTCGCTGTAGGAGCCTCTCGTGGTCACCCTCGCACCCCCATCTTTAAGGGGTGTTCTCCTTCCCCCCTTTTGCCCTCTGTCGCCTCTGCCGCTGCGGCCGCCCTCGTTGGTCTTGAGTCAGTCGGTGCGGCGTCTGCCCCTAGCGGGAGACGCCGCTCTGGCAAGGGCAAGGGGGGCAAGGGCACGGGTGGAGCTAGCGGGGGCGGTGGAGGTGGCGGTGGAGGCGGCGGAGGGAGTGGGGGTGGCGGTGGGAGTGGTGGCGGGGCTGGAGGTGTCGGTGGCAGCAGTGGAGGTGAAGGCGGCGGAGGCGGCGGCGGTGGTAGCGGAGGCGGCGGTGGTGGCGGAGGTGGAGGAGGCGGTGGTGGAGGAGGTGGCGGTGGTCGGGGTGGCGCTTCGCAGCGGAGCAGCCCTGGTGGTGGTCAGCGCCAGCAGCAGCAGCAGCGTTCTCGGGACATCCCCCCCCCTCAGCAGCTCCGTGAGTGGTACGTGCAGCGTCAGCGTGGTGGGGGTTTTGGTCCGTGCACCTACGTCATTCGCTCCGGCGACCGCGCGGGTGAGCAGTGGGGGGGTGCCCACCCCACCCAGCGCTGCTTTGGCCGCCTGACGAACGCTTGGCGTCAGCAGTTCCCGGAGGCCAGTGAGATCCCCCGCTGGGGAGAGCTTTCTAGGGCAGGCGTAGCTATCTATGATCTTGACTTTGATGCTATCCTTGCTGCCATGTATGCTGTGACTATTAGTGATGAGGGTGACTGTTACCGGTGTTTCCCGCCCGACCCGGGCATTGGTACTGCTGCTCTAGGTGCTGGTGAGGCTGCTGCTCTAGGTGCCAGTGCGTCTGCGCCCTCAGGTGCTGGTGAGTCTGCGCTCTCAGGTACCACGTCGGCTTCGGCCTCCCTCACCTTCACACTCGGGGGCTTCTCGCTCCTTCTTTTGAGACCGCACCACACTCACGCCGCTTGGTCGGCCGGTTGCAGTCTCCCTGGCAGACCCCTCTGGGGGTCCTGTCCTCTCTCACTTCTCCACTGTCCTCCCGTGTCCGGCTGCCCCCTCTGGCACCTTGTCTAGTCTCTACCTCCCCTCGTGGTGAGTGGTGCTGACCTGCAGGATACGGGGGTTCACCAGTTCACTCCTGCGAGTCAACGGGTGACCCACTGCTCAGACGCTCGCACAGGCCGGCACCTGGCCACGTTTACGCGTCGGCCGGGGTCGAGCCTCTACACCCTGACCACTGCGTCTCCTCCTGTCCCTGTGTCTAGCGAGGTAGCTGCGTCGGGTCAGGTGTTTGATGCAGCGTCCAAGTCTGGTCCTGAGTCTGCCCCCTGCTCGTGTCGCCTCGTGTCTCACGAGACTCTCCTGTGGCACCACCGTCTTGGTCACCCCTCTCTGCCTCGTCTCCTAGGCATGGCTTCCCGTGTCCTTGTCTCAAGTCTCCCCCGGTCCCTCCCTCCCCTTCCTCCAGGGCCTGGTCCTTCCTGTGTTCCCTGTATTGAGGGGCGGCTCCGGGCTGCCCCTCACTCCTCTCAGTTTCCCTCGACAGAGGCCCCGCTGCAGACCCTTCACATGGACGTGTGGGGCCCGGCCCGCGTCCGTGGACAGGGTCACAAGCGCTACTTCCTGCTGATGGTTGACGACTACTCGCGTTACACCTCAGTCTTCCCCTTGCGCAGCAAGGGTGATGTCAGTGAGGTGTTGATCGACTGGATCCGCGCAGCTCGTCTCCAGCTCAGGAGGAGCTTCGGCTCGGACTTTCCTGTTCTGCGTCTGCACTCTGACCGAGGCGGAGAGATCTCCTCTGGCCTTCTACGAGCCTACTGCCGTGCGCGAGGCATCCGCCAGACCTTTACGTTTCCGGACTCTCCACAGCAAAATGGGATTGCTGAGCGCCGCATTGGCATGGTCATGGACGTCGCTCGTACGTCCATGATGCATGCGGCTGCCCCCCATTTTCTGTGGCCGTTTGCGGTTCGGTACGCGGCGCATCAGATCAACCTTCACCCCAGGGTCTCCATGCCGGAGACCTCCCCAGCTCTGCTGTGGACGGGGAAGGTAGGCGATGCGTCTGCGTTCCGTGTCTGGGGATCTCGGGCGTTTGTCCGCGACTTGTCTGCGGACAAACTGTCCCCTCGTGCTGCTCCTTGTGTCTTCCTTGGCTTCCCCCCTGACGCACCAGGGTGGCAGTTCTACCACCCCTCCTCTCGTCGTGTTCTGTCCTCCCAGGACGTCACGTTTGACGAGTCGGTCCCCTACTACCGTCTCTTCCCCTACCGCACTCCTTCCCTCCCCCCGCCGCCGCACTTCCTTGTACCAGGTCCCCCCCAAGTAGAACCCCTCCCCCCTCAGGGTCCTGCCCCTTAAGGTGTGTCCCAGGTAGACGCAGTCGAGCCTGTCGAGGTTGCTGGTGACTCTGGTACTGCTGCGGGTGCTGAGCCTGGGGGTGCTGACTCTGGGGGTGCTGCGCGAGTGGGTGCTGAGCCTGGGGGTACTGAGCCTGGGGGTGCTACGACTGAGGGTGCTGAGCCTGGGGGTCCTTCGCCTGGGGGTGCTGCGTCTGGAGCTGCTGAGTCTGGGGGTGCTGCGTCTGGAGCTGCTGAGCCTGGGGGTACTGAGTCTGGAGCTGCTGAGCCTGGGGGTGCGGAGCCCACGGCCGCTGGACCTGCTCGTGTGGCGTCTGGCGGTGCTGGGCCTGGTGGTTCTCCGGGTGCTTCGTCTCGGCGGGAGCCACTCTCTCCACAGGAGCTGCGCGAGTGGTTTGCCCGGCGCTGGAGGCGTACTGCTGGAGCTGGTGCTTCTTCGGCTGCTGAGGGTGCTGTTGCAGCCGCTCTCGGAGGTGCTAGCCCTGGGAGTGCTGGAGCTGCTGGGCCTGCGCGTGCGACTGGAGTCGGAGCTGCTGAGGGTGTTGGCGCTGAGGCTACTGCTGTCAGTCCTAGCGGCGGTCCTGCTGCGGGTGCTGCTGGAGGTACTGGAGCTGGAGGTGCTGTTGGCGCTGGTGCTACCATTGGGGGAGCTGGTGCTGTCCCTGCTGTGTCTGGAGTCGCCGCGCGGCCTCGGCCGTACTTTGTTCCGCTCCTTCAGCAGGTTCTTGGTCTTCCTCCTCCCTTAGAGTGTCCACCGCCTGTCCAGTCACAGTCACAGTTACCGCCGGCCTCCCCACTGCCTGCTCCTTCTCCCTACACTGGTCCTACTGGAGGTCTTGCTGAGCGTCGTGAGCCTGCGTCTCGTCCTGCATCGCCGGTTCGTGCTGCTCGGGCTAGTGGTCGCGGTTCGCGTCAGCGTCCTCCTCCTGTCCCTGGCACGCACCGGATGTCTCTGCGTCCGTCCACTGCTCCTCTGCGTGCCCCTTTGCCTTCTCCTCCTGAGTCCTCTCTTCCTGCCCTTGCCGACCCAGAGTCGGACTCTCTTCGTGCTGCCAGTCCTATTGTCACGCGTCTGCTTGCTACTGTCGTCACTGACCCTTCTTTTGAGTCCACTGCTGCGTCTGCTCTTGTTGCTGAGCTCGTCGACTTTGCTGCTCGCTGTCGTCTAGACTACGCTGCTAGTCTCGTTGCTGAGTCTGCGACTGTCTGTCCTCCGTCCGTCGGGGGTGAGTGTGCTCTTGGCACGGACATCCTTGAGGACAGGCAGGAGGAGTTCCAGTGTCTAGCTGCTACTTCACCTCATCTCGTGTCCGTACTGCTTACCCCTGAGGGAGACCCGGATGCACTTGACATCCCGACTCCGCGCTCTTACGCGGAGGCCGTAGAGGGTCCCTACTCCTCTCAGTGGCAGGCAGCTATGGATGCAGAGATGGCTTCCTGGAAGTCCACAGGCACCTACGTTGACGCGGTTCCCCCACCTGGGGCGAACATCGTCAGTGGCATGTGGATCTTCAGGGTGAAGCGGCCGCCGGGCTCTCCGCCTGTCTTCAAGGTGCGGTACGTGGCTCGTGGCTTCAGTCAGCGGCAGGGAGTTGACTACTTTCAGACCTTCTCTCCCACCCCGAAGATGACCACTCTTCGGGTGCTGCTACACATAGCCGCTCTGCGTGACTACGAGCTTCACTCTCTTGACTTCAGCACTGCTTTCCTGCAGGGTAGCCTGCACGAGGAGATCTGGCTGCGCCGTCCACCTGGCTTCACTGGGACTTTCCCTCCTGGCACCCAGTGGAGCCTCCGACGGCCAGTCTACGGTCTCCGCCAGGCACCGCGCGAGTGGCACGACACACTGAGGACTACGCTTGCGGCTCTTGGGTTTGTTCCCTCTACTGCTGACCCGTCGCTGTTTCTACGCACCGACACCTCTTTGCCGCCGTTCTACATCCTCGTGTACGTCGACGACTTGGTCTTTTCCACTGCTGACATTGCTCGACTCGCCCACGTGAAGTCGGCGCTGCAGAAGAGACACACGTGCACAGACCTGGGTGAACTGCGCAGCTACCTTGGCTTGCAGATCACCCGGGACAGAGCACAACGCACCATTACCCTGACTCAGTCACATATGGTGCAGCAGGTCCTTCAGCACTTCGACTTCACGTACTCCTCGCCTCAGGCCATCCTCTGTCTACTCGCCACTCGCTCTCAGCTCTGCCTTCGGATGAGTACATAGAGCCGAGTGGCCCGTACCCAGAGCTTGTTGGCTGCCTCATGTACCTGATGACCTGCACACGACCTAACCTTGCATACCCTCTTAGCATCTTGGCACGCTATGTTGCTCCTGGGAGACACCGACCAGAGCACATGGCTGCAGCGAATAGGGTGTCGCGCTACTTGTGCAGTACGTCGGGCATGGGGCTAGTGCTTGGAGGGCGGAGTCCAGTGGTCCTCACTGGGCACGCGGACGCTTCTTGGGCTGACGACCAGGCTACGCAGCGGTCGTCACAGGGCTACACCTTCAGCCTTGGTTCCGGCTCTGTTTCGTGGCGGGCTACTCGCTCGTCTTCTGTTCTCGGCTCCTGTTGTGAGGCCGAGATCTACGCCGGGGCCATGGCTGCACAGGAGCTTCGCTGGCTCACCTACCTGTTGACCGACCTTGGAGAGCCGCCTCGTTCTCCTCCAGTCCTGTACGTAGACAACAAGGCTATGCTGGCCTTGTGTCGAGGGCAGAGACTGGAGCACAGAACAAAGCACATTGCTCTTCGCTACTTCCTTGCTCGTGAGCTACAGGAGCGTGGTCAGTTGCGGCTTGCGTACGTGGCCTCTGAGGCCAACACTGCTTATGTTTTCACCAAGGCACTTGCGCCTTGTGATCATCAGCGCTTCTGTACTCAGCTTGGTCTTGTGCCTGTCTTGCCTCACTTGCTCACTTTTTGATCTTGCTTGTACTGTCACATATATATACACCTGCTCTTGTTTGCTTAGCCTCTTATATATATATGTGCTCCTGCATGTGAACTGACCTTCTGGCCTTGAACTTGTGCTCGGAATGTGTGGTGACTTTGTGATCCACCCTGAGCTTTGCTTTGCTTTGCTTGACTGGTCTTGTGACCCCTTGTTCTCCCTCACTTTGCCTATGGGGGTGTGTCAAATTATAATGTTGTCTAGGCTTTAGTGGGGTAGCCCATATGGGGTACACATTTCTAGGGTTGCATATTTGTATCACTTTCATTCCATAGTCATTTCATTCTCGTTCTAATTTCCTCAGGGGTGTCACTAGATCTGCACTGTGGATGCCCGATTGATCTTGGAGAGGGTTACAGGCGCGTTCGCCTGGGGGGTTATGGGCGCACTGACCCGTTACTGAAACAAGCCATTTTATCTCAATGGTCTAGTGGTTGGGATTCTGACATCTGTCTATGATTTTTAATGCATAATTACGCTACCACATTTTAAAGGGGTTTTAGATGTGGTGATTTCGTGTGAATTCACCATGTGTTACGGTTAGATGACATACATGGCTGCTCAGAACAAACTTGTTTGGAAGTCACTTGCTGTGAAGTCTGGAGTGTCATCTTACGGTATATGTAGCTGATTATAAGAAGTATAAACACATTAGATAACAGGTTGCAGAACAGGCATGACTGTTAAAAAGCGTCATTTTGAGCAGTTGAACCCAGCCAACAGCCAGCTCAGAAGGGCTCATATGTGTACGATGCAGTATATGTACGATGCAGTATATGTACGATGCATATGTGTAGGCATTTAGCGTTTGTGCTTGAAAAGCTGTGTCCCGCGCTGTGGTGCGGGTTGCTGTGGTGTTTTGGTCCTTAGGTGTTTCCTCCTTTTAGTTTCTTCCTCTCTTCTTTTCCTCTTTCCACCTTTCCTTCGGCCCTTCTCTTCTTCTCCAGCTCTTCTTCTTTGTTCCACCATCTTTACCTTCCTCTAATTCCCCTTCTCTTAAAGCGACGGTGCACCTTTGCCACCCGAAACCCAAAACCCTGGCGAACTGTTACTGCGGAGGAAAAGTGTCCGCACTTTCGCTAGCCAACAGTTTCGCGCTGGCAAGCCTGGTTCAAAACAAAAGCTTCTGAACCCCCGCTTGTCAATCTAGACCCTCGTTTTTATTACCAAGACTTTGTATCAAACTTAAAGCCGGCGGCTCAAATTGTTCATGCTTTTAAAAGTTGACCAGAGGGAGTTTTTCTGGTGTGGGCTTTGGCGAGAGTTTCCGATTTCGTCTAGGTTAGTTTTTTTCGCGAGACCCAGCCAACCCTCGGTTTTCCCCCTGGTGAGTGAATCTGTCTTCGGAAGTCCCAAATTGCAAGTGCGTAACTTTCAAAAGCTTGGACCCTCAACTTCGTCAAGTTATAAAAACTTGACCCTCGCGGCCCGCAATTTGGGACGCGGGTTTTAATCACATACAGTACCGCCAGCTCAGAAGGGAATCGAATTAGTGAGGGCGCACGTTACTTTTGACTGTTGATATTTATGGAAAATTATGCATGAGGGGGAGTTTCACAGCCGCTCGATCTTGGCGAAAGCTTCCGGAAAATAATAGTGCCTTGTCGCTAATCACTCAAACAGCATTCTGAAAAATCGCAGCCGTTCTTTTGCCCCTCTGCGACTCGAGCTTTACACGCGACGCGATTCATCGGGGGTGGAGGTGGCTCCCCCGAGCGGAAAAGACGCGCAACCTTCGCCCCGACGCAAATCAGTTCCTCGCTTCCCGAATCAGGCCCACGGCGGTTCCTCTCTCTTCCCCGCTCACCCCCACCTACCACTCTCCCGCTCACCACCACAACCAAACACTCTCCAACAGTCTGGGAATTGAGGACCATCGTCCTACGCTCCAATAGTACTGTATGACCGCTCTGAACTTGCCCCATTCTGTCCCCCCCGTCTCGGTCCCGTCCTCTCGTCTTGTCCCTTTCTCCATCCCTCCCGTCCTCGTTATGCACCGCACGCAATCATTCTGTGCACGGCCGCTGTTGCTCCTCCTGAGTTCTGTCCGTTCCGTTCACCTGTGTGTGATTTGTACCGACGCGCACACTAAAGGTGAGCTGTCCTCGCGCACACACCTCTCCTCCCCTCGTCGCCTGGCGTTTGTCCGACTCACCCGCACGAACAGCTTCCGCCACAACCAGACTGGCATTCGGGCACACACACTAGTTGAACACCATCACAAACCTTTGTCAGAAAGCGATGTACAGCTGCGCAAAATCAGGGTCACTTCTGGCCAACCTAGCAGCGTAAAGTGTGACTTGTGCAGCACTAGCACACTGACCCATGTCTAACATTGCGCCATCGATTCCGGTCCAAGGAAAGCATTTCCGTTTTCTTCCCGCTGCCGTAATCCCGCATTCCCGTACCTCACGCGGCTCGAGATCGAAACCTGGCGTGGCGCACACTTCCATGTTGTCGCGCCGCACTTTACATGCGTCTCTAAACTCATAGCCTTCCGTAGCGCGCTCCTGGAAACTCTTCAAAGTGACTCGCTCTTACAAGAGTTTTATGTCGACTCGGTAGTTTCTCCCATGCCCCTGCAATGCAGAACTTAACAGTAGAACCAAACGAGCTGTTGCGACACCAGCAGCATCGTTTTCAGTCGCAGCAGCGCGATCAGTGCCGTAAGCCCGAGCCTAACGGCTCAATTCCCGCCGCGGTTCCACATCGCACCAACGGACGCCCGCTCTCCCTGCCACGTGTCTTCTCCGGCCGGCTGGAACACCTCAGCATCCCGTCGTCCCCGAGTGCCACGTCAGCCAGTGGTCGGAGCCCCGCTCAGCTGTTGCGGGGGGATGGCGCACCTCGTGCGGATGGGGGCAGCGCGGACGAGGGGGGGTGGGCGGACGAACACGCGGGTTGCGCGGCCGGGTCGGGGCTATGGCGCGCGCACGACCGAAGCTGGGAAAGGGGGAAGAGGCGCGGGGAGGAGGAAACGTGTCGACTCGCCGAGGGAACTACGGAGAACCTCAGTGGACGGGGAAATAGCCATGACGGCCAGGGAAGGGAAGCGAATCAGCCCGAGGATAGCGACGATAGCGTTGACGAACACGACGTAGCTCGCGTTGACCGGCCCAACGATGCTGCGCTATCCGGCTGTGCCGATGGTGGCGATGTTGCCGCTGCTATTGACGTGAGAAATGGGAACAGCTGTAGCAGCGGCAGCTCCTGTGGTAACGACGTTACGCGCACCGACATGGCTGGCGGCAAGGCGCCGGCGATGAATCGAGTGTTCGTCGACAGACTGGGGCATTTAGCCATCCCCTCGCCGCGCTTTCCCCCGGATACTCCCGACTCCGCCTCCCATCCCGCCCAGCGCGACACTCCCCTGACCACCTCCCCTTATACCACGATTTCCGCCTCCCCTTGCGTTTCCACCGCCGTCGCCGTCGCCGCGGTCGGCAAGGCGGTCGCCGCCACAAGCACCGCCTCCGCCGCTGCCGCCGTAGGCACGACGGCGTCCCCGTCGCTGCCGGCCCTCGTCTCCGCCTCTTCCACCCCCTCCTCGTCCCTTGCACCCACCCCCTCCGCTCCGCTCCCGCCTCCTCCCGTTCCCCACTCGCCTTCCACTCTCGCATCCACAGACCCACGGGTCGTATCCTCAGATAACACCTGCCCAGATGCTACCTCCCTCAAACTCGGCTGTTCGGAAACCGATCCTAGTCAGCCTTCATCCCAGCAATCCGCGCCGTCTCCCAAGGACAACTCCGCAGTCAGCGGCGGAAGCGGCGGCGGCAAGGGCGCATGCACGTGGGCGGATCTATCTCCGCTGCTGGCAAGCCCGCACCCGTTGATGCAGCAGCTCGCGGAGTCGAGCCCTGGGAGCGGCGAAAGGGGAAGGGAGCGGAGCCAGGAGCGGCTGCTGGTGGCCATGTCGTCACTAGCGCGGCTGAAAGAGGTACTGGAGGGGGAGAGAGCGCAGCAGCTGCACGCTCTGCGGGAAAGGCAGAGAGAGCAGCGGGAGCAGCGGCAGCTGCTGCTGTATGGACGGCCGGGGTCTGTTAGGAGGAGCCAGCTGACGCAGCAGCAGCAGCAGCAGCAGCAACAGCAGCAGCAGCAGCAGCAGCAGCAGCAGCAGCAGCAGCAGCAGCAGCAGCAGCAGCAGCAGCAGCAGCAGCAGCAGCAGCAGCAGCAGCAGCAGCAGCAGCAGCAGCAGCAGCAGCAGCAGCAGCAGCAGCAGCAGCAGCAGCAGCAGCAGCAGCAGCAGCAGCAGCAGCAGCAGCAGCAGCAGCAGCAGCAGCAGCAGCAGCAGCAGCAGCAGCAGCAGCAGCAGCAGCAGCAGCAGCAGCAGCAGCAGCAGCAGCAGCAGCAGCAGCAGCAGCAGCAGCAGCAGCAGCAGCAGCAGCAGCAGCAGCAGCAGCAGCAGCAGCAGCAGCAGCAGCAGCAGCAGCAGCAGCAGCAGCAGCAGCAGCAGCAGCAGCAGCAGCAGCAGCAGCAGCAGCAGCAGCAGCAGCAGCAGCAGCAGCAGCAGCAGCAGCAGCAGCAGCAGCAGCAGCAGCAGCAGCAGCAGCAGCAGCAGCAGCAGCAGCAGCAGCAGCAGCAGCAGCAGCAGCAGCAGCAGCAGCAGCAGCAGCAGCAGCAGCAGCAGCAGCAGCAGCAGCAGCAGCAGCAGCAGCAGCAGCAGCAGCAGCAGCAGCAGCAGCAGCAGCAGCAGCAGCAGCAGCAGCAGCAGCAGCAGCAGCAGCAGCAGCAGCAGCAGCAGCAGCAGCAGCAGCAGCAGCAGCAGCAGCAGCAGCAGCAGCAGCAGCAGCAGCAGCAGCAGCAGCAGCAGCAGCAGCAGCAGCAGCAGCAGCAGCAGCAGCAGCAGCAGCAGCAGCAGCAGCAGCAGCAGCAGCAGCAGCAGCAGCAGCAGCAGCAGCAGCAGCAGCAGCAGCAGCAGCAGCAGCAGCAGCAGCAGCAGCAGCAGCAGCAGCAGCAGCAGCAGCAGCAGCAGCAGCAGCAGCAGCAGCAGCAGCAGCAGCAGCAGCAGCAGCAGCAGCAGCAGCAGCAGCAGCAGCAGCAGCAGCAGCAGCAGCAGCAGCAGCAGCAGCAGCAGCAGCAGCAGCAGCAGCAGCAGCAGCAGCAGCAGCAGCAGCAGCAGCAGCAGCAGCAGCAGCAGCAGCAGCAGCAGCAGCAGCAGCAGCAGCAGCAGCAGCAGCAGCAGCAGCAGCAGCAGCAGCAGCAGCAGCAGCAGCAGCAGCAGCAGCAGCAGCAGCAGCAGCAGCAGCAGCAGCAGCAGCAGCAGCAGCAGCAGCAGCAGCAGCAGCAGCAGCAGCAGCAGCAGCAGCAGCAGCAGCAGCAGCAGCAGCAGCAGCAGCAGCAGCAGCAGCAGCAGCAGCAGCAGCAGCAGCAGCAGCAGCAGCAGCAGCAGCAGCAGCAGCAGCAGCAGCAGCAGCAGCAGCAGCAGCAGCAGCAGCAGCAGCAGCAGCAGCAGCAGCAGCAGCAGCAGCAGCAGCAGCAGCAGCAGCAGCAGCAGCAGCAGCAGCAGCAGCAGCAGCAGCAGCAGCAGCAGCAGCAGCAGCAGCAGCAGCAGCAGCAGCAGCAGCAGCAGCAGCAGCAGCAGCAGCAGCAGCAGCAGCAGCAGCAGCAGCAGCAGCAGCAGCAGCAGCAGCAGCAGCAGCAGCAGCAGCAGCAGCAGCAGCAGCAGCAGCAGCAGCAGCAGCAGCAGCAGCAGCAGCAGCAGCAGCAGCAGCAGCAGCAGCAGCAGCAGCAGCAGCAGCAGCAGCAGCAGCAGCAGCAGCAGCAGCAGCAGCAGCAGCAGCAGCAGCAGCAGCAGCAGCAGCAGCAGCAGCAGCAGCAGCAGCAGCAGCAGCAGCAGCAGCAGCAGCAGCAGCAGCAGCAGCAGCAGCAGCAGCAGCAGCAGCAGCAGCAGCAGCAGCAGCAGCAGCAGCAGCAGCAGCAGCAGCAGCAGCAGCAGCAGCAGCAGCAGCAGCAGCAGCAGCAGCAGCAGCAGCAGCAGCAGCAGCAGCAGCAGCAGCAGCAGCAGCAGCAGCAGCAGCAGCAGCAGCAGCAGCAGCAGCAGCAGCAGCAGCAGCAGCAGCAGCAGCAGCAGCAGCAGCAGCAGCAGCAGCAGCAGCAGCAGCAGCAGCAGCAGCAGCAGCAGCAGCAGCAGCAGCAGCAGCAGCAGCAGCAGCAGCAGCAGCAGCAGCAGCAGCAGCAGCAGCAGCAGCAGCAGCAGCAGCAGCAGCAGCAGCAGCAGCAGCAGCAGCAGCAGCAGCAGCAGCAGCAGCAGCAGCAGCAGCAGCAGCAGCAGCAGCAGCAGCAGCAGCAGCAGCAGCAGCAGCAGCAGCAGCAGCAGCAGCAGCAGCAGCAGCAGCAGCAGCAGCAGCAGCAGCAGCAGCAGCAGCAGCAGCAGCAGCAGCAGCAGCAGCAGCAGCAGCAGCAGCAGCAGCAGCAGCAGCAGCAGCAGCAGCAGCAGCAGCAGCAGCAGCAGCAGCAGCAGCAGCAGCAGCAGCAGCAGCAGCAGCAGCAGCAGCAGCAGCAGCAGCAGCAGCAGCAGCAGCAGCAGCAGCAGCAGCAGCAGCAGCAGCAGCAGCAGCAGCAGCAGCAGCAGCAGCAGCAGCAGCAGCAGCAGCAGCAGCAGCAGCAGCAGCAGCAGCAGCAGCAGCAGCAGCAGCAGCAGCAGCAGCAGCAGCAGCAGCAGCAGCAGCAGCAGCAGCAGCAGCAGCAGCAGCAGCAGCAGCAGCAGCAGCAGCAGCAGCAGCAGCAGCAGCAGCAGCAGCAGCAGCAGCAGCAGCAGCAGCAGCAGCAGCAGCAGCAGCAGCAGCAGCAGCAGCAGCAGCAGCAGCAGCAGCAGCAGCAGCAGCAGCACAGCAGCAGCAGCAGCAGCAGCAGCAGCAGCAGCAGCAGCAGCAGCAGCAGCAGCAGCAGCAGCAGCAGCAGCAGCAGCAGCAGCAGCAGCAGCAGCAGCAGCAGCAGCAGCAGCAGCAGCAGCAGCAGCAGCAGCAGCAGCAGCAGCAGCAGCAGCAGCAGCAGCAGCAGCAGCAGCAGCAGCAGCAGCAGCAGCAGCAGCAGCAGCAGCAGCAGCAGCAGCAGCAGCAGCAGCAGCAGCAGCAGCAGCAGCAGCAGCAGCAGCAGCAGCAGCAGCAGCAGCAGCAGCAGCAGCAGCAGCAGCAGCAGCAGCAGCAGCAGCAGCAGCAGCAGCAGCAGCAGCAGCAGCAGCAGCAGCAGCAGCAGCAGCAGCAGCAGCAGCAGCAGCAGCAGCAGCAGCAGCAGCAGCAGCAGCAGCAGCAGCAGCAGCAGCAGCAGCAGCAGCAGCAGCAGCAGCAGCAGCAGCAGCAGCAGCAGCAGCAGCAGCAGCAGCAGCAGCAGCAGCAGCAGCAGCAGCAGCAGCAGCAGCAGCAGCAGCAGCAGCAGCAGCAGCAGCAGCAGCAGCAGCAGCAGCAGCAGCAGCAGCAGCAGCAGCAGCAGCAGCAGCAGCAGCAGCAGCAGCAGCAGCAGCAGCAGCAGCAGCAGCAGCAGCAGCAGCAGCAGCAGCAGCAGCAGCAGCAGCAGCAGCAGCAGCAGCAGCAGCAGCAGCAGCAGCAGCAGCAGCAGCAGCAGCAGCAGCAGCAGCAGCAGCAGCAGCAGCAGCAGCAGCAGCAGCAGCAGCAGCAGCAGCAGCAGCAGCAGCAGCAGCAGCAGCAGCAGCAGCAGCAGCAGCAGCAGCAGCAGCAGCAGCAGCAGCAGCAGCAGCAGCAGCAGCAGCAGCAGCAGCAGCAGCAGCAGCAGCAGCAGCAGCAGCAGCAGCAGCAGCAGCAGCAGCAGCAGCCAGCAGCAGCGCAGCAGCAGCATCAGCAGCAGCAGCAGCAGCAGCAGCAGCAGCAGCAGCAGCAGCAGCAGCAGCAGCAGCAGCAGCAGCAGCAGCAAGCAGCAGCAGCAGCAGCAGCAGCAGCAGGCAGCAGCAGCAGCAGCAGCAGCAAGCAGCAGCAGCAGCAGCAGCAGCAGCAGCAGCAGCAGCAGCAGAGCAGCAGCAGCAGCAGCAGCAGCCAGCAGCAGCAGCAGCAGCAGCCAGCAGCAGCACAGCAGCAGCAGCAGCAGCAGCAGCAGCAGCAGCAGCAGCAGCAGCAGCAGCAGCAGCAGCAGCAGCAGCAGCAGCAGCAGCAGCAGCAGCAGCAGCAGCAGCAGCAGCAGCAGACGCTGACTCAGGCGCAGCAGCAGCAGCAGCGGCAACAGGCGCAGCAGCAGCAGCGGCATGTGGATCAGCAGCAGGTGCAGCAACTAGTGCGAGAGCAGGAGCATGAACGGGTTCAAGGTGGAGGGAGTGGCGGGGGGGAGCGGGGCCAAGACACAGCACATGCGCTCTCAGCTGCTGCAGCTGCTGCAGTGCAGACACCAGCAGCAGTGGTTGCATCACAAATATCAGCATCAGCATCAGGACCCATGAAAGGAATACCAGTAGCAGCAAGCCTGTCAGCTCAGGAAGCCAGCAGCAAGAGCTGCGCACCTGCCCTCGCCTCTCCCCTCCCTGCTCCGCCATCGCCCACCACAGCGCTGCAAACACCCCCTGGCCTTCCCACATCGCCGTCCCTCAGCCAGCGTAGTCGCTGGCTGCTGGCTATCATGTCGCGCTCTAATAGCACTGACAGCGGCAGCAGCAGCAGCAACAACAGCAGCAGCAGCAACGGCAGCAGCAGCGCCAGCGGTAGCAGCGGCGGCAGCGGCAGTAATAGCAGTAGCAGGGATTTCAGTCCAGCAGGCACGCCGTCACCCAGGGACCCCCGTCCATTCACCCCGCACACCAACTCCCCTCACGGCTTCAGCCCTCTCTCCCCCCATGCGCAGCCTTCCCCCTCCCCCTCCCCTTCCCCCTCGTCCCACACCTGCACCCGCGGCCCCACCTCCCCCTCGCCGCCCGCTCCCTCCCCCCGCCGCCCCACAGCCAGCCCCAGTCGCCTCAGCCTGCGTTCCATTTTAAGCCCTCGACTCGTCTCTAGCATAGGCAGGAAATCCGGGAGGTGGGGAGGAGACTCCCCTGATGCTGATGTGAAAGACTGCAATGCAGCATTGAGCATGCAAGGAGCGCTAGGGGAGTCCCGGTCTGTCTCGGTTGATGGGGGCGGGCAGGGGCGCAGCGAGAGAGGTAGGAGGGAGAAATGGGGGCTGCAAGGGCGGGAGGGGTTTCCGCGGACGGAGAGTGAAGGGTCGAGGCTTGGGGGAGGGAAAAGCCGGTTGTGTGAGGGGCGGAAGGGGTGTGGGGAGGAGGAAGGGGGGGAGGGAGAGGGGGGGAGAGAGGGAAGGGGACCGCGTTGGGAGATAGAGGAGTGCGGAGCGGTGGAGGAGGCTGAGAAAGGAGAGGGCAGTGGGAGAACGGAGGGGCAGGGAGGAGAGAAAAGAGGAGGGGGGGGGTCGCGGAGAGGGTAATGGAGAGAAGGTGGCAGGGCAAGGTGAGGTCAAGGGGACTGCGGAAGGAGAGACAAAAGGGCCTGTGCCAAGGGCCAACGGCATGGGGTCGAATGCACCGGAGCCAAAGGGATCCATGTCTGTGCCACAGGGGCTGGACCGGCAAGGTGTAGTAGGGCGGGCAGGAGCAGGGGCAGCAGGGCGAACAGGGGCAGCAGAGAGAGTTGGGGGCGCATGGAGGGGAGGTACAGGAGCAGCAGGGCGGGCAGGCACAGGAGCAGGAGCAAGGGGAAGGAGTCGCAGTGTGTCCCCGGCATCCCGTCGCAGCAGAGTGGATGAGAGGGAGTTTGAGCTGGCCTTCTCACACCTGCAGGTGTCCTGGACCAAGGGGTAGAGTAGAGAGAGGCGACGCCCCTGCTGTCTACCCACCCACCTACCTGCCGTTTACACACTTTACTGAGGCTGACATGAGTTGATAGAGAAAGAGGCTAGGCTAGTCCAACCTCATTGTGGTCATCTGCAAGCAAGTGACCTTCAGGCCAGTCATGTCAAGTGCTGCTGCTGACCTTCGTATTTGCAATGGCACCTGTTGAGTTTATGACTGAACTGCGTGCATGTGGCAGCTGTTGCAAGCAATGCTGCTTCTACGGTAGTACTTGGCTGTGACGTGTGCCATGGGCCATGGGCCATGCCAAACGGCTGGTAGCCATTATACCGATGTACCGATAATCCATGACTTGTGCAGGTACTGATAGTCTGGTGAAAAGATGAGAGCGTACAATTCACCAACACACATGCAACCAAGCGCAGACTGAGAAAGGGTGGAGTTGATGGCTACTCCTAATCCCTGACCTCTCCTGCTACGCTACCTCTCCTTCATCGCCCATCACAACCTACTGTAACTCTGAAACAGTCCACTTACAAGCTACCTCTCACCCAGCCCTGCGCCACGCCCCCAGCTCGCTGCTCCTGCCAAACGCCACTCCTATCTTGAAGTCAGAGGGGCTCTTGCTGCCTGTGCCGCGTGCAGCATAGTACAGCCGCATGGAGCCATCCCCCATGCACACCACATGCGGTGCTGCCACCACTAAGTCCTCCCATGTATGTACCCCATCCCCATCCCCACCCTTATCCCTCTCCCTTTCCCTAACCCTAACTGCACTCGGTTCCCCCTTCCCTCTTGTACCCCCTCCACTCTCCTCTTCCCCAGCTTTCCTCCCCTCCCACGGTCCAAACACCGGTCCTCCTGGTTCGTACCCTTCCATCTCAACCTTCCCCCACGTGAACCCATCCCGCGAGATCGCAAGCCCAATGCCATGCCTGCCATCCCCCCCCACGCCCTCATACCACATGGCCAGCACACCCCCATGGACAGTCACATGCCGCCGCCCCACCCCTGCTGCATCCCAAGCACCAGGCGCGCCTGGGGAGAGAATGGGGCCGTGGCGGGTCCAGGAGAGGCCGTTGGGAGAGGAGGCGAGGAGGACGCAGGAGGGAGAGGCTGAGGACATGGCGCTGTAGGTCATGAGCCAGAGGTTCTGAGGGGTGGAGTGGGGTGGGGTGGGATGGGATGAGGGGGGTTGGTGGTGGGTTGGGGGTAAGGTTGAGGTGGGGGTTGGGTGTAGGATTGAGGGGGGTAATACGGGTGGGAATGGGCATGGCGTTGGGAGCACGGGAATGGTGTGAGAGTGGGGAAGGGCACAGAGACGGACGGTGCGAACCGAAGGAACTACGAGGAATTGAATGCAAGAAAATAGCAGCGGGGCAACATGAGCCGAACAGTGGAGTGGGCGCGAGTAATCGTGTAAAGGCAGAGCTGGGTGTTGCAGCAACTCACCTGTGGTAGACTTGCTTGAGCAGGGTCGGAGACAGCAGAAGGGTTGGTATGGGCGAGCATGGAGGGAGTGAGCACACGCGGCCAGGCTACGAACAGATCATCCGGCTGCCCTGCTGCGCCTACATCCACCACCACCCCCTCCCGTGCTGCTGACAGCGCACCAGCAGTGTCACTCATGCCATCAGCACCAGCAGCACCGGCAGCACCTGCAGTTGCAAAGCGGTGGAAGTGAATCCCATCCCGGGACGTGGCAATGCCAATGCGCATGGTGGCACCATGCACGCTCACTCCTGGTCGCACCTCACGTGCCTCCCTGCCCCCTCCAAAGTAGAACATCCACCACTCGCCCTTCCCCCGCGCTCCCTCCACCCATTCCTCCACCCCTCCTTCTACCCCTCCTCCCCTCTCGTTGCCCTCTCCCCCTTGCCAGCCCTCCTCGCCTGTATCCCCAGGCTCTACCCACACCACATCGCCGCACCCCACATGCAAGGAATCAAATGCTACAGGTTCGTGTAAGCGCGGGGTGAGAATCGCCCCCCCTGCCTCTGGTCCTCGCACTCTCGTCCATGTCATGCCGTCGCTGCTGATTGCCAGGCCTATGCTGCCAGTGGTGAAGAGCGCGGGGAGAGCCGGGAGGGGTGTGGAGGCGGAGGAGGAGGGAGGGGAGGGAGTGGGTTCCCCCCATGTGTTACTGGAGCGGCCATAATAGTACATGCGCCAGTACCTCTCCAATCCACCTGCTGCTAGCTCGTCGAGTCCCTGTGGTGGCGCTGCTGCTGCTGCTGCTGCTGCTGCTGCTGCTGGTGCTGCTGCTGACGTTGCTGCTGAATCATCACCGTTTGGTTCTGTTGTTGCACTAGCTGCTACTGCTGCGTGTGCGGGCGGCAGCACCACGGGGTGGAAGAGGCACTGCGCGTCCCACCACGTGTCATCCCCCTCCTCACCGTCTCCTTCACGCAAGCTCATCCCGTCAGGCGGGCCAAAAATGGCCGCTGTGCTGTCCTGCTGCGCGTGGAATCTGGGGAGGTGGTTGGGGATAGGCGGGACCGGCGGGGAAGGAGGGAAAAGGAGGGAAACGAGGTATGCTGCTACTTCCCCTCACCCCACACCACTCATCAGCCGATCCCACCCCACGATATAACCATGAAGAGAATTCGATAACCGCGCAGCACCGTTTCCCACACCTGACGCTCGTTCCACGCGCGCATGGCGTCGCTTCGCCCAGCCTCTCCGCGTGCCGCCCACCGACGCTCCGCGTCTCCCCGCTGCGCGCCAGTCGAGCTCGCGGCGGGCGTTTGCAAGGCGACGACGACGGACAGGCGCAATGCGCGCGGCGGACTGACCGCAATGCCAGTCGTAGCGGGGACGGACCTGGCGCTGACCGCGCGGGGAGCGGGACGAGATGTGACAGCGACATGCGGGGAAACCTCGAAAGATGTGTCGCTGCTAAAGCGGCCTGTCAAAGAGCGAACGAGAGTGGACGGAACAGCTTCCAGTTTCCAGGCGCTTCAAACGGCTTTCAGAAAACCTTTCCACTGAGTGGCCGCTGAAGACCGTGCACCTATGGAGACAGTAAGTTATATCTTATGTTTGAGTTATGGGCATGCACGCTTCTCGCATGATGCGTGGTGAGCGTGGCGGTTAGGGAAATTCGCGATGGACGACGTGTGAGTGCGGACGATACGCGACGACGGTGAGACTGAAATCTGCGGTGGTGTAGGCATTGCCGACTAAAATCAGAGTATAATTGTACATCAGAATGGCGACTGCGAGGAGCTGCCGACCAGTCTACTGAACACGGGTATGGTGGAGGAGCATACAAATCACCAACACACATGCAACCAATACACGGGTGTAGCGTGGCATGACGATGAGCTAACGTTGGTCGGTTGGCAATGGTGCGTGGGGACAAGTCTGTCGAAAATTGGCGGCAAAGCCGAGGCGCGGGGTTATATCGAAGCTGATATCAAGCGTACAGAAGATCAATTTATAAAACAAAGCTACGCACATGTATTACAAAGCATGTCAAGTCAATACTGCAATAAAATACCACTCCATGGACGTATTCTGGGCAGAACTTAATTAAATATGTATCTGCAGAGATCAGTCACGAATCCATTTTCCCAACAATTTGATAGGAATGAAAGAAAATGGTTGAACATCGTAGCAGTGTCTTGTGGAATTATTGTGGCATCTCCTAATCTAGTCTGCCATGCCATAGTGCCAGCAGCTGTGATGAGACAGTGGTTCCAAGCAGGTGAGAGGCGGCATGAGAAGCGCCCTACGATGGGTGCCGACATCACCTTTGCTAAGCGTGTTGCCCATGCAAAGGGAAAGGGAAGAAACGCACATGCGTGGCCCTGAGCCAACAGGAAGGAACACATGAGGATGGGAATAGGCTTCACCTGAACCCTCAATGGGTTGGGTTGGAATGATGTAAGAATGAGAAGCAGCAAGGGGTCACAATCATGTGAGCATGAGTAATTGAATAGATGGCAGAGAACCAGCACCCTGTGCCTTGGGAGGGAAGCTGCGCAAGCACAGCCTCCAGGAGAAGGGAAGGAACGCCTTGGATGAGAACCGTTTCAATGAGGATGGGACAGAGAGAAGGGGCTGCACACAGAGATGAGACGGCACACAGAGGAGGAGAGAATCGCAGAGAAGAGGTGTTCCTGCCCATTTCACCCAATCATAGTAGCATACCAAACAGTCACTGAAACATACCAAACAGTCATTGTAGCATACCAAACAATCAATGTAGCATACCAAACAGTCACTGTAGCATACCAAACAAGCACTCACACCACACTCATCATCACTCTGTATCATAGCACACTCTGTAATTAGCACACATTATCATAAAACACTGTATCATAGCACACCTTAACATAGCTCACTGTATCTCATACCACCCTATCTCATCTCTTACACTACCCAGCCCACTCTGCCTTATCCTGCCTTATTCATCCCAACCCATTCTCACATGCCACTACCCACTTCACCACCACTACCCACTACCATGACCACCATCACCACCACCTCCCACTTGACCATCCAATCCACTCTGCCTCATACCTGCCACCACCCAGCACTCACCACCCCCCACCTGACCACCCAAACAAGCTTACCAGCACAAGGAGTAGCACACAGAGCACTTCCGTTGGGAGGCAGCAGGCAGAGTGGAAGGGCGCTGCAGTGAGAGGTGTGCTGCACCCCATCCCTCTCTCCCACTAACCCACCCACCTTACAGGTTCCAGCCTCCATCCTAAATCACCAACCCACCTAAAGGGTTCCAGCCCCTATCTCCCTCCCCCACCCACCACACGCCTTAGGCGTTTCAGTCCCCATTTTCTTTCCCACTCACTTACCCACCTATGGGATTTCAGCCCCCATTCCTCACCCACTCACTCACCTTAGGAAATTCAGCCAACATCCCTCTCTCTCTTCACCCTTACGGTGAATCAGCCTCAATCCCACTCTCCCGCTTCACCCACTTTGGTGGGCACACCACCAAGAGCTCCCATGCAACAGGTGGCATCAGCGCATCTCATCATGTGCCACCAATAATAGGTGGCATCAGTGCAACTCATCATGTGCCACCAATAACAGGTGGCATCAGTGCAACTCATCATGTGCCACCAACAACAGGTGGCATCAGTGCCATATGGCTCATCATATGCCACTGCCAGCCCCACTGCCTCTCACCACCATGACCACCCAGCCCACCCATTCCCTCCCCACCTTACCTGCCAGCAGTAGGAGCAGCAGACAGCCCACTCCCCTTCAAAAACAGCACGCTCAGGGCCTGTGCCTTGCAGTGCGAGGTGTGGCAGTGGAAAATTGCTTCCAGCCCAAGACTCAAATCCCACCCCTGACGTAGCCAGAGCTGACGCGAACCAGAGCCGCCGGCCGGTCGGCTCTGACAGTGTCCATTAGGCCTTGAACGTCAGATCGGTTACTTGAGCACCGAGTGCCGTGCCGCGTAGATTCCACCCACCACACCCCGACCCACAAGCCACAACCCCAGAGGATGCTGCCCCTAAGGCAGTGAACTGCCCACTTGCTCCCATGCTTCCCACCCCCCCCCCCCCCCCCCCCCCCCCCCCCCCCCCCCTCCAACCATCCCCATTCACCCCATGCGTGCTTACCTCTGGGAGGTGAGAGCAGAGAGGGGCCACTGGTGGAGGCCAGGCCACAAAGCACAGACCCCAAGTGAACCTGAGAGCGTACCTGCACATGGAGTTACCTGCACCTGAAGGGGTTACCTGCACCTGATCTACACCTGAAGGGTTACCTGGAGTTGGGGGTCCGTGGCATGTGAGGCGGACCTAACCAGTGGCACTGTTTCCAGAGGAAGGGTGCGAAAGCAGATGCGACAAACGAAATGGCAGCAGCAAGGGCGAGGGCATGGAGGAAGGGACACTTAGCTGATTGTGTGAGAGCGAGCAGAGGGCAGCTGAAGCACCACTGCAGTCTTCACTCAATGCCAAGTGACCTGGTTAGGGGGGAAAGAAAGGGGGAGTAAGAGCAAGTGAGAAAAGATGCAAAGCAGAGTGGATTAGAGGGGAAGGGCGAGACAAGAAGTGGGCATGGGGAGAACACCAAGCAGAAGCATGACTGATGGAAAGGAGGGGATATGAGGCTCACCTTGTTTCAGACAACCCAGCCCGATACTCTCCCTTCCCGCTCCAGCTGAGTGGAATACTTCCCCTTCCCCTCCCACTGTTGCACCTGCACAGCCAAAGGGGAGGAGTGTGAGGGAGTGGCGGAGTTCAACCCCCACACCCCTCCCCTTAACCGGCAAGGGGAGAACTGAAGAGAAGTGAGTAAGCGGCTAGGGGTAGAAATTTGAGAGAAGTGCATGAGATGGCATGTGGGAGTAGCCTCGGCTACAAGCCACAGACCCAAGCGAGGCACACACCTAGGGAGGCTTACCTGCAGACCTGACCTGAGAGAATACCTGCAGTACCTGGGGGAAATTACCCAAAAAAAGGGGTCTGTGGCTTGAAGCTTTGACTAGACTAGCGGCTTGTGTTTGAATGCACAAGCGGTAGGAGATGCAGCAAGGACTGAAATGAACCGAAAAGGAACGCAAGAGGCAGTGCGGGTACTTAGCTGCGGGTGGGCTGGGTGGAGGGCAGGTGCTGCTGGTGCACTCCATGTCCCCCGCCACAGGGGGGAGACGGGGGGGAGATGTTTGCAGGGGGGCGGGTCCCCGGAGAAGGAGCGCGCGAGCGGGCGGCGTTTCGGGGGGAGACGTTTGCGGGGGGGTCGGGTCCCCAGAGAAGGTGCGCGCGAGTGGACGACGTTTCGGGGGGAGACGTTAGCGGGGGGCGCGGGTCCCCGGAAAAAGTGCTCGCGAGCAAGCGGCGTTTTAGGGGGAGACGTTTGCGGGGGGGGGGGGGGGGGGCGGGTCCCCGGAGAAGGTGCGCGCGAGCGGGCGACGTTTCGGGGGGAGACGTTTGCGGGGCTCGCGCGGGTCCGGAAAAGGTGCGTGCGAGCGGGCAACGTTTCGGAGGGAGACGTTTACGAGGGAGCGTGGGTCCCCTGAGAAGGTGCGTGCGAGCGGGCGACGTTTCGTGGGGAGACGTTTGCAGAGAAGGTGCTCGCGAGCGGCGACGTTTCGGGGGGAGACGTTTGTGGGGGGCGCGGGTCCCCAGAAAAGGTGCGCGCGAGCGGACGACATTTCGGGGGGAGACGTTTGCGGGGCTCGCGCGGGTCTGGAAAAGGTGCTCGCGACCGGGCGACGTTTCAGGGGGAGACGTTTGCGGGGGGCGCGATGGTCCAGACAAGGTGCGCATGAGCGGGCGACGTTTCGGGGGGGGGACGTTTGCGGGGGGCGCGGGTCCCCGGAGAAGGTGCGCGCGAGCGGGCGACGTTTCGGGGGGAGACGTTTGCGGGGGGGGCGGGTCCCCGGAGAAGGTGCGCGCAAGCAGGCGACGTTTCGGGGGGAGACGTTTGCGGGGGGCGCGGATCCCCGCAAAAGGGATGCGCGAGCAGGCGACGTTTCGGGGGGAGACGTTTGCGGGGAGGGCGGGTCCGCAGAGAAGGTGTGCGCGAGCGGGCGGCGTTTCAGGGGGAGACGTTTGCGGGGCTCGCGCGGGTCTGGATAAGGTGCGCGCGAGCGGGTGACGTTTCAAGGGGAGACGTTTGTGGGGGGCGCGGGTCCCCGGAAAAAATGCGCGCGAGCGGGCGACGTTTCGGGGGGAGACGTTTGCAGGGCTCGCGCGGGTCCGGAAAAGGTGCGCGCGAGCGGGTGACGTTTCGGGGGGAGACGTTTGCGGGGGGGGCGCGGGTCCCCGGAGAAGGTGCGTGCGAGCGGGCGACATTTTGGAAGGAGACGTTTGCGGGGGGCGCGAGACCCCGGAGCAAGTGCGCGCGAGCGGGCGACGTTGCGGGAGGAGACGTTTGCGCGTGGGGGCGGGTCCTCGGAAAAGGTGCGCGCGAGCGGGCGACGTTTCGGGCGGAGACGTTTGCAGAGCCTTGCGCGGGTCAGGAAAAGGTGCGCGCGAGCGGGCGACGTTTCGGGGGGAGACGTTTGCGGGGGGCGCGGGTCCCTGGACAAGGTGCGCTCGAGCGGGCTACGTTTCGGGGGGAGACGTTTTCGGGGGGCGCGGGAGTCCAAAGAAGGTGCACGAGAGCGGGCGACGTTTCGGGGGGAGAAGTTTGTGGGGGACGCGGGTCCCTGCAGAAGGTGCGCGCGAGCGGACGACGTATCGGGGGGAGACGTTAGCGGGGGGCGCGGGTCCCCAGAAAAAGTTCGCGCGAGCGCGCGACGTTTTAGGGGGAGACGTTTGCGGGGGGGACGGGTCCCCGGAGAAAGTGTGCGCGAGCGGGCAACGTTTCGGGGGGAGACGTTTGCAGGGCTCGCGCGGGTCTCGAAAAGGTGCGCGCGAGCGGGCGACGTTTCGGGGGGAGACGTTTGCGGGGGGCGCGGGTCCTCGGAAAAGGTGCGCGCGAGCGGGCGACGTTTCGGGGGGAGATGTTTACGGGGCTCGTGTGGGTCTGGAGAAGGTGCGTGCGAGCGGGCGACGTTCTAGGGGGAGACGTTTCTTGGGGGCGCGGGTCCCCGGAGAAGGTGCGCGCGAGCGGGCAACGTTTCGGGGGGAGACGTTTGCAGGGCTCGCGCGGGTTCGGAGAAGGTGTGCGTGAGCGGGCGACGTTTCGGGGGGAGACGTTTGTTGGGGGTGCGGGTCCCCGGAGCAGGTGCGCGCGAGCGGGCGACGTTTCGGGGGGAGACGTTTGCAGGGCTCGCGCGGGGTCCAACGAAGGTGCGCGTGAGCGGGCGACGTTTCGGGGGGAGACGTTTGCGGGAGAGGCGGGTCCCTGGAGAAGGTGGGTGCGAGGGGGCGACGTTTCGGGGGGAGACGTTTGCAGGGGGTGCGGGTCCCTGGAAAAGGTGCACGCGAGCTGGCGACGTTTCAGGGGGAGACGTTTGCGGGGCTCGCGCGGGTCCGAAAAGGTGCGTGCGAGCAGGCGACGTTTCAAGGGGAGACGTTTGCGGGGGGCGCGGGTCCCCAGAAAAAGTGCGCGCGAGCGAGCGACGCTTCGGGGGGAGACGTTTGCGGAGGGCGCGGGGATCCAGAGAAGGTGCGCGAAAGCGGGCGACGTCTCGGGGGGAGACGTTTGCAGGGCTCGCGCGGGTCTCGAAAAGGTGCGCGCGAGCGGGCGACGTTTCGGGGGGAGACGTTTGCGGGGGGCGCGGGTCCTCGGAAAAGGTGCGCGCGAGCGAGCGACGTTTCGGGGGGAGATGTTTACGGGGCTCGTGTGGGTCTGGAGAAGGTGCGTGCGAGCGGGCGACGTTCTAGGGGGAGACGTTTCTTGGGGGCGCGGGTCCCCGGAGAAGGTGCGCGCGAGCGGGCAACGTTTCGGGGGGAGACGTTTGCAGGGCTCGCGCGGGTTCGGAGAAGGTGTGCGTGAGCGGGCGACGTTTCGGGGGGAGACGTTTGTTGGGGGTGCGGGTCCCCGGAGCAGGTGCGCGCGAGCGGGCGACGTTTCGGGGGGAGACGTTTGCAGGGCTCGCGCGGGGTCCAACGAAGGTGCGCGTGAGCGGGCGACGTTTCGGGGGGAGACGTTTGCGGGAGAGGCGGGTCCCTGGAGAAGGTGGGTGCGAGGGGGCGACGTTTCGGGGGGAGACGTTTGCAGGGGGTGCGGGTCCCTGGAAAAGGTGCACGCGAGCTGGCGACGTTTCAGGGGGAGACGTTTGCGGGGCTCGCGCGGGTCCGAAAAGGTGCGTGCGAGCAGGCGACGTTTCAAGGGGAGAC